TAAAAATCAGGATAATAGAAAATCTAGTCAACCTAAGGACACTAGACAACCTAGACAAAAGCCTAGGAATGAAAATGTGCATGTTACACAACCCAAGAAAAACTATCAAAATGATTTTGTGCATAAAATTAATTTTTCAAATAGACAAAATAATGCTAGAACACCTAGAAGAGAGAGTTTTCAAAAACCAATATTTTCCCAAAATAGGATGAATATGGTTAGGCCCCCTAGCTATTATCAACCTAGGCACATGTTCAACCCAAACGTAGTATGCCACTATTGCAATAGGGTAGGACATATAGCTCCCGTGTGTTTCACCAGACATAGGCACTTCACCTACAATGAAACACACAACGTATTTGGTGCTAATGAAAAGAAATCCTTTGGAAAAGGATATTCAAATCATAAACAATCTCCACAGGACAATGCACAAAAGAAACCTTATTATTTCTTCTACTTTGACGAAAAGAAGAATGTCCACATTTCATTACCGGAACCGACACAAATCACACCGAGATATCGGCACTCCGTTCAGGTAGATTGGAACCCGCCGACCACGAGACGATGGGTTGGCCAAGGTAACTCCTAAACAATCATTTAATCGTGTATGTGTGTGTGTGTGCGCATATGGAAACATATTTTGGGTGGGTGTGGGCAATAAAGGTAAACTAACCCCCAAGGACCCATAGACTTACTTTGGGTACCAAAGTGCTGTTCTTTTTTGCAGATACGGTCCAAAGTGAAGAAATCCGGAAGTCGGGGGGAACCAGCGATGGGTGGGTTATACCATCGCTGGGGAGGAAGCTGCTTGCTTTCAAAACCCCTCTTCCCATCGATGGGTTATTGACTCTATTTTTTTAAAAAAATGGTTAACAGATTTCCAGAACACCTTTACCCATCGATGGGTAGTTTATCCCATCGCTGGGTGAGTGCTTGCTTTTGTTTCAGAACCTCCCAACCCATCGATGGGAAGTTCCTCCCATCGTTGGGTGTTTGACACTATTTTTTAAAAAAATTTTTAACGGATTTTCAAAACTACCAAACCAGCGATGGGATGGTATTAACATTGCTGGGGAGGCCATGTTCTTTTCTTCGTCAATTTCCAGAAGCCACCTTCCCATCGATGGGAAAATCCAAACATCGCTGGGAAGGCAGCCTTGGGTTCTTCCTCGCTTTCCAGTGGCGACCTTCCCATCGATGGGTAGATCCTACCATCGCTGGGAAGGCATCTGCATTTCAAAAATTCAGAGCCGTTGGGCACCACATTAATTGCCCAACAGCTATATTTTTGAATCCAAACGCCCTAATCTCCCATTCCCTATATATATCCCTCATATTTGCTCATTCTAATACACCATTAACATCATAATTTCATTCCTTGATCCAAATCTCAGTATTTCATCTCCTTTTTTTCAAAAACGCCACAACTATGGCCGGAGGAAGATCAAAGTCAAAGGCATCGAAGAAGAAAGGCCCTACTGAGGCCACAACCTCTACACCTCAACCCTTTCCGTACCTGGATGGATCCTTCCTCGAATTCGGGTCGGAGGAAGAACTCACACGCTTCCTCACTCACTTTGCCAAGCGCCCGATCTCTCCACCTCGCGTGCTCCCGGAGTTGTTTCCCCAAGACAAAGGGTACCACGACCTCGACAACCAACTCCAAGCGTCGGGTTTGTGGCCATTCGTCTCTAAGAGCCGCTCGAGCTTCAGTCCCGCCTTCGTCTGGGCTTTCTACTCCAATCTCCGCCGTGACGGGGACACCATTCGCAGCAGCATCAATCTCTACGACATAGAGATTGATTTGCCTACCTTTTCTCGGGTCGCAAGGCTGCCCATCCGCGGTGACGACATTGCAACCTATGGTGGCGACGATTGGATCCTCAACAACGAGGCGGTCGTCATTCGTGAGCTTGGGATCACCAACTTGATCCGCCACAGTGGCGCACAGACGATTCACTCGGCCCCACCGGACAAGCGCCTCCTCCTCTACATCATCACCCGGATTCTCCGCCCCCGGGACAGCAGCCATACCTCGCTCTTCAACGAGGACTTGAAGGCGATTCACGCCATCATCCACGGCGCCTCCATCAATCGGGCAAAATTCGTGATGATCCACATGGCGGATTGCGCCTCCATACACCTTCCTCATCATGGACCTCATCATCTCCGCCGACATCTCCATCGCCGGCCCGGATACGAAGATGACAAAGATTTGGATAATTCAAGACAACACCTTCCGGAAGAAGTCCGGAGACCGGGACGGCGCAGGCCCAAGTCGTGCACCAGCCCCCGCTCCCGCCAAGGCCTCTTTGCAATCCATAGCCGATACTCTGAACCGGCTAACCCTCACAGTGGATGGCATGGGGCAGTCAATCGAGCGGATGGACTGGACGCTGCAACGCCAACACCACGACATGACGGCGTTCTTCCGCGGCATCAACTACGTCCCGCCGCCCTTTGACAGCACCTTCCTCGGCCAAAACTATGAAGGCGAGGACGAGGAGGATAACTCCTATGCTCCATCCTCCTCCCCCGACGAGGCCGACTTTGAAGATGCGGTCGACGGCGATCCCATGGACGTCGAGGACGACGAGGATGACGACGAGGACGCCGATGCTTAGACTTTTCTTTTCTC